GTGTCTCTCTCTGTCAAATAAATAAATAAAATCTTTAAAAAGAAAAAAAAGAAAGCAACGTTTCAGAATGTGCAGAGTCCAGAGCCCAGGACTGGGTGCTACTGTCTGGCTTCTCAAAGTGCTGTCCTGGGACAGCAGTCACCGGGGAGGGTGGAGAGGATGAAGGCAGGGACCGGAGGCCGCTGCAGGGAGAGGACACAGGTGGCCGGGATGGTGTCGGCGCTGGAATTGGCAGGACGGAGGCAGTGGTGGGAGGATGAGGGGCCTGGAGGATGCTGAGGTTGACCCCACACAGCTCATCTTGCCTCCCACCCTCTGGACTAGTTTCAGCCCTGCTCCAAATCCAAGGCAGAGCTGAAGTCTCACCTCCTCCAGGGAGCCCTCCCTGACTGCTCCAAGAGCTCTCTCATTCCCGCTCTCTGCAGGGGTCCTGCCTGACCTCGGCACAGCCCAGGGGTTCTCGAGTCTTTCCCCTACTGAGGCACAAACACTGGCCACCCAGGTCTGGAGAGAGGTTACAGGGCCCTGACCAAGAATGAGAGGCCCAGGGTCTGACCTGGGCCCACTGGGGACAAGCCACCTGGCCTCTCTAGCCTCAGCGCCCCCTCCCAGAGACTCTGGCTGTGTGTGGCAGGGTGCCCAGAGCAGCACCTGCCCGGTGAGGTCAACACGGGTCAGAACCGGGACCCTTAGCTGGCTCCGTGGAGGCTCCGGCAGAGGCTGCGCCAAGGAGCTGACAGGAGGCCGTGGTTGCTCAAATCCTGTGCGTGGACGTCCCGCACGCAGAAACCGAATCAAGACACAGACCTTACACTTTCATGAAGTTGCACCGGAAATGGATCCTATCAGAACTCCACAACCCCTAGAAGGGAACGCAGGGCAGAAGGACCTTTGGTGCATCAAAGGTTCTGTGAAAGAAGAAACTGGTAAATCGGACACATTAAAATCACAAACTTCTCTCCGCAAGAGACCTTGTTAAGAGAATGAATACAAAGAATTCTTTAAAAGTCGACGTCAGAAAACTATCAGCCCAATTGGAAAATGGACCAAAGACCCGAGCAGACAGCTCACCAGAGAAGGTGCACAGGTGGCAAATAAGCCTGTGAAAGGTGCTCAAATTCACAGTCACGAGGGAAACGCAAATTCAAATGAGGCACACCTGTGAGTGCGGCCAAACCCGGGACCCCGACACTGGCACGTGCTGGAGAGGATGCGGAGCCTCGGGAGCGCCCGTCCGAGGTGGTGGGATCGCAGAAGACGGTTTGTCAGTTTCTTCCAAAACTGAACATCTACCATCTGAGGCAGCGATGAAGCTGCTTGGCATTTACCCGCAGGAGCTGAAAACTCAACGTCCACACAAAAACCTGCACACAGGTGTTAACAGCACCTTTATTCATAACTCCCCAAACTCAGAAGTAACTAATACGTCCTTAGCAGGTGATGGGTAAATAAACTGTGGTCCCTCCAGAAGGTGGAATATTATTCAGCACTGAACAGAAACGAGCCCGTTCTTACCAGCAGTGCCATTATTCACTTCCACACCAGCAGGGGAGACACGTTTGTAGGATATGTGCTCAAAGGGACAGTGCATTTTCCCATCTCAGGTAACACTGACCGCGTTCTGGGCGTTCCCTCGGCCGCCCGCCCCAGCTGACAGGGGCGCGGGGTGGGGAGGCTCAGGTGCAAGGCGCTGCCCACGCCGCAGCCGGCCCCGTGCAGGCGGACGGGAGGGAGAGGGGCAGGGGCCACCGCCCCGAGATCCCAGGCCACGTGCGGCTCAGGCGAGGGACAAGAGAAGGGGTGTCATGATGGCAGAACGGCTGGCGGCAGCGGTTTAGGAACTGAGCCAAAAACCCACATGATGACAACTGTTTATAAAGATAAAAATCTACCTTAGGCCCGTTAGAATGTGACCATGGCCGCTGGGGGAGGGAGAGCCAGGGGGTCTGTCCTCCCTCCATCTCGAAGTGTCCTTTAATGTGGTGCACAGTGAAAACTACTGCGCTGGGAAGGGTACGGGCGTGAACAGAGTATTCGTCGGGCAGCCCCCAGCTCTCCCGCGCCCCCGACCCTGCCCTCACCAGCTGGCAGCCCTCAGACGGTTGTGTTGTGAGGCTCTCAGCTGTCGAGAACAAAAATGTGAACACACGGAAAAGGTATTTAAAATCATGAAAGTCCCCTGAGGAAAGCCCTGTGGAAACAACCAGAGCCAGGCGCCACTCCACCTCTCAGCGGGTCATTCACACAACGGCTCAGCTGTCCCCCCAGCGCCGCTGGCCACCACCCTCTGCTGAACCAGGCCCTGCACGCTGACGCCTACCCTCGTGCTCCAAATTGAGCTCCTGGGGGGGAAGGCAAAGGCCCCAAGGGACACAGACGGATGTAGGACGTTCAGGGCGCTGCGCCAAGCGTGGCCCCCGCCGTTTGATGTGCACCTGCAGCGAGCAAGGAGCGTGAGCCACCAGCCCACTGCTGAGGTCGGCTGGTATTTTTTTTCTCAGCAGGATTTTCCAGACGAAGGAAACAGAGAAGGATCCACACCCTGGGAAGCTCCCTGTCCTGAAGTCAACCGTCTCTGTGCTTCAGGAATTTTCTCTCCTCAAAAGGGCATGCTGAAATGGGCTCCGAAGGGGCCCGGGGACAGGACCCTCCTAGGCACCCGCAGTGCGAAAGGGCAGGAGGAGGGAGGAGGGCCTGGACCCGGCGGTGAGAAGTGACGTCCCTTCCCCCATCACCTGCCCCACCCAGATGTCCTGCCCAGGACCCGCAAGAGGGCGGGCAGCGCGTGGAGCCTACAGCACATAAGCAAAAGACGTCCTGTGCTGGCCAACAGAGGCCTAAGGGCAGCAGGGGGAAGCCAGGCTTCTTGTCAACTAACATGCATCACCCCATCGGGGATCGACTGAGCTACAGTATCAAGCTCATTTTTCCTGAACCGCACCTAACAGGCTTACCTTCTTGTCTTCCTTAGTCTTTCTAACTTGTCGATGGGGACCGAAAATGTTTTGCATCCCAAAAGCCTTCCTGGACCAGTCCCTCTTCTGGGTGCTCAGCGGGGGCTGCACCAAGCTGCCCTCCACCCTGTAGCGGTCGGCGGGGATCTTGCTCATGGGAGGGGGCAGCGTGCCACAGTTGACACTGGACCACCCATCGGTGGAGTCCGTGTACGACTCCTGATCGCTGGCGTGTCCGCACTGCCACTCCTGCAGGACGTGGACCGGAAGCCACCGCTGGCCGAAACCCCCGCCGTGGCCGGCAGCGCCCCTCTTGGAAGGAGGGACCGAGCTCCGCAAGGAGGCCGGGGGAACCTCCGCGTGAGCAGCGGGTCCCAAGTGCTTACTGAAGTCCCGGCACCTGTCAGCCTGCGGAGCGGCCTCAAACGGGGGCCCCCCCTCGGCGTCGTGGCAGAAGGCCCCGTTCCAGGGGGCGGCCCAGGGCTGGGAGCCCCTCCCACCCGCACCCTCCCAGCCACCGTTGCTGGGGCCGTGCCTGCTCGAGCTGGCACCCAGGTCAACCACAAGCACTCGGCTGCTTCTCTCCTCCTGGTGGAAATTCCCAATGCCACTGTCACTGTTGCTGCTGGTGCTGGTGTTCTGGTGGGCGTCCGCATCCCCGTCCACAAAGGCCCGGGCCCGCACCCCCTCGATCAGCTCGCCCATGTCTCTGTAGAGCACGGAGATGAACTGGAGGACAGGGAGAGAGGACACCGGGAACTCAAGACAGCCATTGGTGTCGGGGTCGGCCGTGCACTCAAACCCAAACCGCCGAGCGATGCCTTGATGGATTTTGTGGTTGAACAAGTCTGGATCCACCATGAACACGTGGCAGGAAGTCCGCAAGGCGCCCTCCTCCTCGTGTGCCAGGCTCCCATCGTCGCTGCTCTGCATGGTCACAAGCCCAAAGAGCCTCCTGTCATCTGGGCACACAGCGCTGAAGGCCAGCTTCTCAGCCGGGTACTCGGCCAGAATGGCGGCCTGGTCAGTGCACAGCTGCACGCGGTCGTGCAGGACCCGCATGGTCACCAGGGAGTGGATTTTCTGCTCGGCCCGCAAGCGCCGCAGGCAGCCACGGATGGCCTGCAAACTGTCCGACTCCAGGTTGCAGCTTGTGGAAGGAAGTTCGATGGAACCTAAGTAGCCTACGACCATGGCAACGTTCAGAATACTTGCATCTAATGCAAAATCCTCATGATTCTCGGGTCCGATACTGAAAACAGAATCATCATGAATAACTTTTGATATTTCCTCCTTAGAGAGCAGGCTGGGATTCGGATGACTTATACTTTCACGTCCAAGGTCAAATCGCGCAGCGGCTGACTCTGAAAGGGATCTTTGTTTCAATTTCAAGGGCTCTGAAGTGCTTGCACGAAGACTAGGGTTTTCAAAAATCATACTGAAAATTCCACCGGACTGCATCTCTTCAACCACTCTCTCTGCCCTATTGATACCTAAGGCTTTGGAATCAAGCTTGGGCTTCAACCAGCCTTTTCCTTCATAAAATCCAACCTCTTCATCACTGGAACAGGACTCCACATGGCCCATGCCTTCACCAATCACCATGTGCAGGACGCCAGAACACTTCCCAATCAGTTTCACCACATCCTCGTGGGACGCTTTCTTCACGTTGATTTCATTGACAGCGAGTATCTGATCACCAGCACGGAGGCCCACAAAATCTGCGGGGCTCCCTCTCATGACACAGCTGAGCACACAAGGCGCCTGGCCAGAAAGGGTGAATCCGTACCCTGCTCTTCCTCTGGCCACCTCCACACTCCTCATGCGAGGGGGCGCCGGCCCGTGAAGTGGACGCTCCACTGCGTCCCCTGCTCTATACATCCCGATGAGCTCGCAGGACCACAGGCATCGTTCTTTACTCCAGGGGATCCATCGTTCACGGAAGGCTGGACGCTACCGTACTTCTTCCTGAAATGCCCTAAGGAAGAAAATAAACAGCTTGTTACCAAAGATCCCATATTTCTATTGCTTACGCATAGTACCTAAACATAAGAAGAGAACTCATCCCAAAAACCATGACAGAAAGAGTCTCTGGTTACCACGGAAATGTCCAAGTGAAGGAGAAGTGGTATCTGCATACAGTCAACCTAAGTCAGGCTAAGAAATTTCCCTCCAGACTAGACCGTGTTTCCCAGAATTGACACCCTTTCCAACACTGACATGAGGCTAAGCCCTCCTTAGGTTTGAGGAACCCAGGACTATCGCGGAACCTGGACTGTTTTGCCTGCTCTCTTCTGCCTGTCTAGGCGGAAGGGAAGACCCCTCGAGACCCTTACCATTCGAAGTGTGGTCCAAGGACCAGCAGCCCGGTGGCGTCCGGGAACAGCTCTCAGGCTCCCCAGCAGACCCAGCACATCAAAGTCTGCACTTGAACCCGAGAGGCAGAGGCAGAGGCAGAGTGAGAAGCAGGGCTAGCTACAGACTTGGGTAGAAAGGCGCCTGTTTGGTCACAAACCCCTCCTTCACAAGCAGCTCTCCATCAGGAAAGAGTTAGCTTATGTTCTCTCATATTCCACCACCCTCCTTCGATTAATGTCTTCTGAACAAGGTACCATGCGGGGAAAACGCATGAGTCTAAAACCGCCTCAGTCAATTACAGAGGCCATCGGATAGAACAGATAAAGCCACCAAAAAGAGCAAAGGAATATGATACTTAATTGTTCCAGGGGATGACTTCATCATTAAAAGTACTGGTTGTTGGGGCGCCTGGGTGGCTCAGACGGTTAAGCGTCTGCCTTCGGCTCAGGTCATGATCCCGGGGTCCTGGGATCGAGCCCCGCATCGGGCTCCCTGCTCCTTGGGAGCCTGCTTCTCCCTCTGCTTCTCTCTCTCTCTCTGTCTCTCATGAATAAATAAATAAAATCTTTAAAAAAAATAAAAATAAAAAAAATAGAAGTACTGGTTGTCAGCCAACCTGTATCAGGGTCCCAGGACCACCCCAGGGTCGATGACTCGCTAGGAGGACACACGGGACGCAGCACACAGTCGTACTCACGGCTGAGATTTATCCCAGTGAACCCATACAAAGCAAAATCAGCGAAGGGAAAAGGTACGGGGTGGAGGGCGTTGGGGGGCACAAAGTCCAGAGGAAGCAGGCGCCAGCTTCCAGCACCCTCTCCCAGGGAGTCAGGTGGGACACGCTCTGTTCCCGGCAGCGCGTTGTGACAACACGTGTGGGGTCTTGTCTGCTGGGGAAGCTCGTTAGAGACGCGGAGCAGGGCTCTCGCTGGCGCTGGTCGCGCAGGCCCCTCTGCCTGGCTCGGCCCAAACCGCAGACCCCCAGGAGGAAGGGGTGTCGGCACCGACCACAGCGTTGGCGCGGACGGCGGAGGCACAGCCGGGGAGCCGGGAAGGCTCCTGATGGCCAGGACCGGACGCCTGCTCTGCGCGGGCCTCTGGAGGGCGGCTCGGGCCCGCGGGGCCGGGGGGGGGGGGGTTCCTGCTGCACAAAGCCCTTCAAAGATCACTTTAAAAAACAATATGGTAAATCATCTTATGGACCCAAAATATTATAGAGATCATGTTTTTTAAGGAGTGTATGTTTTTTAAGTAATTGTTTTAAGCTGTTAGGAGAAATTCTTCATCTTGGGAAACGTTTGCGGTCACAGAAGCATTAACTCCAAGTCCCGCACAGCCACACACGAGAGAAGGAACTGGGGGGACTGAAGGGTGTGCTCTGGGGGGACCCCACTGGCGGACGCAGGGACACAGAGGACATGGTACGCAGGACGTGGGTTTGAATAAAATCATCCCTATTGCAAGAGTGATAAAAGAACAATTTACTTCTAAACTACCGTACTATTTAATACCTATGTGGTGATACAGGAATCATTTAAGTATTATGAATGGACATTTAACTATTTGATATTCATCATTAAAAACATGTATATTAAAGTTGGCCAAGAACAGTGTTTGTGGGTCTCCTCACTGGGGCTCTTCCAGGCTGAATGGTACTCCCCTACCAAATATGCCTCACCCCTCCCCCCCCCACCGGGGAGCTGGGAAGTAGCCTCACATGGCCAGAGACCTCGCGGCCATGGTCAGCTGCAGGCTCCTGACACGGAGGTTATCCTGGATGATCCGAGCAGGCCCAGGCCACTGGCAGGGCGGCCAGAGTCAGAGAGAAGCGGAGATCAGAGTGGCAGGCAGTGAAGGTAGAGGAAGGGCCACAGAGCTCACGAACGGGGCGCCTTTAGAAGCCACAAACGGCGAAGAAACAGACCATCCCCTGGGGCCTCCAGAAGGAATGTCCCTGCGACACCGTGACTGTAGCAGGTGAGACCGACTTTGGACCTGCCACCCCCAGAGCTGAGAGAGAATAGAGTTGGGCTGTTCTAAGCCTCTCGCAGCCACAGAAACTCATGCCAGGGGAATCGCCCTACTGCTGGGGAGGGGGCACACAGGTGCAGGACACAGCACAACGGGGCTGCCGCTAAGCCGGCCCTTGCCGGCCATCACTGTGAACCCTCCCAGGACAGGGGTCGGCGAGGCCCTGTGGCGCTCCTCCAGTGACAGAAGAGCACCTGGCTGTCTCTGCCAGCCAACAGGTGTTGCCTCTATGAAAGAAAGGATTTCCCAGTTTTACATGCAGAATTATTTTGTAATTCATCCAAACATCAGAGTCCTCGCACTGTACAAGGTTAACACCAAGGAGCACTCTTCTATGTGCTTGCACCAAAAAAAAAAAAAAATGTTTCTAAGTCAGATAAGTAATATCTTAATACCTACAACCACATGTTATGAGTTCAGCCTACAGGTGAATTTTTCCTTAAACTGCATCAGTTAATAGTAAAATGAGCAGGCAGTGAAATTCAGAAGAAACCATAGGACACAGTTTCCAGCTCCCACTGGCTTTCTCCCATCCGGGCTGCTGAAGTGCCAGTTCCCGGGTCCCTTTCCTCCACCAGGAGACTCTGGGTGAGTAGGTCTGAGCCACCTGCTTTGACAAAGTCCCTGCCCCCACCTAACCAGGTGCTTCTGACAGGTAGCAACACGTGGAACGCCCTGCCTCAATATCAGCTGCTCCGGCCTGAATGTGTGTGTCTCCAAATTCATGGGACATTGAAATGCTACCCCCCGGTGTGCAGGTATTTGGAGGAGAGCCTTTGGGAGCGATCAGGTGTAGATGAGATCAGGAGGGTGGCGCCGTCCGGATGGGGAGGAGGGGATGAAGGCCCTCCCCACCTCCGCCCCTGCTCTCTGTCAGATGAGGACAGGAGGACACGAGAAAGCGGCCACCCGGAACCAGGAGGTGCCCTCGCCAGACACCGGACCTGCGGGCACCTGGGCCTCGGTGTGCTTCCAGCCACTCAGCGGGCAGTGTTCTGGCAGCCCAAGTTGACAGAGACATCCTCCAATCTGGCCTCCCCGTTGTGCAGGAAAGGGAAGCGAGCTCAGAAAGAAGCGACAGCTTCCTCCCAGCACAGACGGGGCACGAGGGTCTCCTCAGTACGCCCACTACCGGGATCAGTCTCTCGTCACCAAATGACATGGTCCTTCCTTTACCGACGCGTCGTTCAGACGAGCAGGACCTACAAACACACGTCAGCTGTCTCCCGACTCCTCTCTAAGGTTTAAATCAGAGTAAGACGGTCCCGTCCGCTGAGTTTCTCCACTCAGGGCCACCGAGGGAGCGCCCACCCCGTGCCCCGCAGCGTCGCAGACCCAGAAGCCCCCGGGAGGGGCCTGGCCCTCAGCAGCCCACAGGCCCCAGCCTGGGGGAGGGGGAGGAGCAAGATGGGGCGAAGCGCCACCACCCCGCACTGTGCTCAGGTCCCCGCAGGAGAAGTCTGCGGGCAGAGCACGCGCGGCTCGGCCCCCACCGCCACCCACGCTGGGGCGCATCTATGAGGGCGCAGCCCCCGTGCACCATGGTTCTGCCACCAAAGGCTACAGGCATTCCCGGGGCTGAAGACCAAAGCCGTGCAGAACAGCAACAACAGCACGTGGGGCGGCGGGGGGAGGCTGACAACTTCCAGGCAGGGAGTGCCCAGCGCACCGAGGACAAGCGGGACATGCAGAAGCACTGGCGGGGGGGCCTTACACGGTGCTCGGTGCTCCGTGCTCCGTGCTCGGCACGGGCCTGGGCTGTCCTCAGGACTTTACATGTGGTAACACGTGTGTCCACAAGCAACGCTGCTGCGAGGTGGGTACGATTCGTCCCATTTTGCAGATGAGCAAATGGACACACTGAGAGGTAACCTGTCAAGGCTGCACAGCTAATGGGTGTCACAGGTGGACTGGAACCCATCTCTCTCTAGCTCCACACAGAGGGGTCCTCGGCGGAAGCAGAGACAGCCTTGGGGCTGAGAGAGCAGGCACTGTCCACCTCCACGGTCCCTCCCACAGCCCAACCCCTCACCGCAGGAGCCTGGCGGCACCGTGCCATCCTCTGCCTGGGACCCAGCCACCAGCGGGCCCCGCTCCGCCCCTCTCCCCCAAAGCCACTGTGTCTGGGCGCTACCTCCAGCCACCACCCAGGCACTGCCACGGCACCAAACACCCCTCAGGCACCACCTCCCCCCAACTTCCCTTGGGGACATCCGCTGCAGAAGCGCTAAGCCACCAAGAGGGTCGACCCGGAGCTGCCAAGGGGAGAAGTGGGAACGGAGGGGAGGAAAACATGTGGATAATTTGGTGACAAGTCTCTCTGCTCATCTGTCACTACATCACCCACAGAAGGCAGCCGGAAAGCGTTCCCCAAATTTGTAGGGTGTATTTGGGTCGTATGACTTAAATTATACATGATATGGAAAACACAACATTCTCTTCAGAGAACCCTGGAGGCAGCTGAGACCGAAGCCAGACTTAAGCATTTGGTGGGATGTCTGGCCTTGTTTGATGTTAGAAAAAAGTAGAAAAGGAGGACTGAGAGAAAGAGACTGGAAAAAAGAGCAGAGGGGTCCTGCAGGTA